TGCCTTCTGTAATCAGATTAGGGCTTCACTATCAGAAACTTGAAGAAACGTACAGTACCTATATTAATAATCTGAACTCGTCAGTTAATTATGAAGAGGGTTTGGTCCTCCTGGAGTTGCAGCAAGTGAAACTTTGTGACTTCCATTAATATCCACACTTCCGCGTCGCAATTCTGCAGCATAAAACTTTGTGAATGGAAAAGACAAGCCCCTCTTTGTTGCTGGCCTTTCTTCTTCCATCTTCGTCTTCGAGATTTGCCTGCAACTAGAACAGTATAGAGTTGCTAATACACAAAGAAGGAACAAAATATACAGAAGTGAAGATTTCTGAAGAACTCTCATAATTATCGGCTTCAAGAACACTAGACAGAGATCAGGTTAATAATAATTTGGAGAGACCTCGGAGGACATCACAGGACTTAAGAAATATGTACAACTAGAGAGTTATTGTGAGTGGTTAGCAGATATGATTGATGTATTAGGTATTCTCTCCCACAACATCTATCTATGTGGGGTCATTTTATAAAGTTTGAAAATTTAATATGAATTAATTACCCTGTTTAATTATGAACTGACATGTAATAATTGATGTGTTTTATGTTCAGACTCTGTTGAATTACTCCCTCATATATGTGTACTGGAATCAATCGTCAATCAGCATTCTAAGTCACGGTGAAAAGTTTAAACACTTGGGAACAAAGTTCATGTCCTAATCAAAATAAAGCCAACCTGGATGATATTGCTGTTTATTAATTGCTTGATTATTAAGTTAATTGCAGGGATTAATCACAAAGTTTAGCAGCGTGTGGCTCACGTGGAAAACAAACAAATTATGTGTCCTAATCTCACACATTACGTTTAATTAGTTTTGGAGAATAATTAGTATATAGTAGAGTGCAGTTGTAGAGGGTCCGACACATTTTAACATAAAGTAACTCTGATTTAATTTGGTGCTCGGAGCATACCAGTGCTTTGGTTCAGATTGTTATTAATTCTTACATGGTAAGTTTAAATTTAAATGCACTTCCTGTAATGAACCAATATATGGTTCTAAATTTTATGGTTGAAAAAACAAAATCATGAGCTTTTTGCGACGCGGAGATAGGTAGAAATTAATGTTATGTTTAAAACTTTTAGAGAAAAATTCTTGATTTTCTCATAGATTATAAAGTCTTGTTTTGTGTGGATCTATTTCTGACAAAACTATTTTGATGTCAAGAGGTAATTGAGTAGTGTAACTGGATAAAATTGCGTCATGTGGTTTAAGCCAATCAATTATCTTCTAATTAAGTTATGTCTGTGTTGATATTCTCATAATTTCAATCGTATCCTAGGTGATATAAAAGAATTTGCTAATAAAAAAATTATTAATGATTCGGCTTTAAGACTTAAGAGACTCCCTCCGATCTTTTCTGTAAGACAGTTGTAGAAAATATCCAATCCTCTTTTTATTCAAACATGTGTTTAATATGGGTATAGTTATGTTTTTTAATTTTTAAATAGAGTTAATGAATTAACTATCTCTTCTTAATTTTGATTAAAAAAAAATTATACTCCCTCATATTATTTATAATATGAGGGAGTATAATTTTATAATGTAGCAAAAATTTAATATAAGGAGAATTAATTAATTACTCTAAAATTTATTGACAGCTAAGAGATTATAATGACAAATTTGAGAGTAGAGAATGACAAGAAGTTTGTGCTAATCAGTTGTCCTTTGGTTTTTTTAATAATTAATTTTTCTTTTTGGACCTGATGATAATTCTCGCTTTAATATATATATATATATATATATATATATATATTACATGTCATGTTGATTTGCATGGAAGAAGGGGAAGAAGAGATTATGATAAATGAAGTTGAATAGAAGGGACAAGCAGAGTAAGCAGAGTTCCTAATTTGAAATGGGAAGGGTCCGATTGACTTGCCAACAACAACTATGTGAAGGACAACCCCACTAATTTGAGCTTTAATTGTTTGCCTGTATTCTGGGTCTAGGCAATTGAATAGTGCCACCCATCCAAATCACCAATGAAATCACCATATATAAATTACAAAAAAAAATTATCAAATAATACTAATATAGTAGAGTACATGTTACTTGGGTCAAATGAAACGATTTGATTCTCTTTAAATAAAATAATACATAGATATGAGGTAGCAAAAGGTAGACAAAATCAATATCACTGATATACATAATATAAAATTTATTAGATCAAATTTCTTATATCCATTATATTAAGTTTTCTAATAATATATTATATTTTTTCATATGAATTTATAATTAAATAATAATATTCTAAAAATAGGATATGTTATCACAAGTGACTGAAGAACTTGACATAACTAATATAAAAAACTTGACATAAACATTGTTCTAAAATTTACAGGGTATTGTATAATTCGTAAGCGAATAATGATTTACTAAATTTTACTCAAACATTACATAATGAGTGATGACAAAGATAAATATGTAATCACATGTTATTCACCATTTCCTAAATAAAAAAAATTACTACTACTACTACAATCATAGCAAATAATTTTATTTTATTTTTGGTCAGAGAAATAATTTTATTTAATATCAGTCATAATCGCATAATCGTGTAAATTTAATGGAAACAGAATTTGATTGAACCCACCATAAGACTGAATAAATTTAGGGGGTGTTTGGATAGAAACCAAACCATGATTTCAGAAGTGTTTTTACGGATTACGAAGTAAATATGTGGAGGAGGTTACCTCGTTTTGTGGAAAAGTGATTCTGAAACCTTGGTTTTGGTTTTGCCAAACACTCTCTTATTCTCACGTGCTCAGTGATTCTTTCTTTCGTCTTTCTTCTTGTGCCTTTTCTCTCTGACCAAAAACATGCTCAATGATTCACACAGGAGGGATTATTGGGATCCTCGTACAATAATGGAGCAACAGAGAAGCTGAGACTAAGAAATAGAATAAAGTGTGGTGTCGGTCTTAATTTATCTTCTTTTTTTTCCCTTACAAAATTTTATACAAATAAAGTTTCTTCTGATCCAGCTGAATATAAGAGTCAGTGCACTCATTTACATATGTTGATAGAAATTACCCATTATATCTTCTATTGGAGGTTCAAACTCAGAAGCTTATACTTAATTTAAAAAAAACTTTAAAAGAGATGTTTTTGGTATCAATTGAATCACAAGACCCTGATTAAAAAAAAAGTAATTAATTTCATGGTAGAAAACTAGAAGAAAGAATCCTGATTAAATCTAGTTAAAATATCAAAATTTAAATTAAGACTAATACTTTTAACAAATTTTTAATTAGGCCAAGAGGTCTTATTAGGGATTTTTAAATATTATTAAAAGACTAAAATGTTTTTTTATAATTTAAAATAATATTATTTTGAAAAAATATTTAAACCATGAAAACTTGACAGAGTATTTATTTATACAAAATATTTTACATAAAAAAATTTGAAAATACTAAGAGTCAAAAATTGACAATGCATAATATGATATTTTATACTAATTCTCATATATTGATAAGAAATTTAAGCGAACAGGGACTTTTTTTTGGGTAATGGGAATAGGACCTTTTAATTATTTGATTCCAGCACCATTAAATTAATAATTTTTCAAAGGAAATTTTTTTCCTTATAGTTGAAAAATTAGAATCTTAATGTATTAGTATATTTCAGCATCAAATTTGTCATTTTCTTAAGTGCTATGTTATATATGCCATATAGATGTTCTCATCATGTTATATCTTATAATCTTATTGCTAAAATTCTTCCTAATAATTAATATGAGTTGGTATTAGAAATGTAAATGACTTTTTTAACATTTCATGGGACGAATGGAGTAATATGAACTTCTTAATATAAATATATTAAAAAAATACATGTTACTCTTTTAACAACATATGGAGTAAGAACACATAAAGTCGATGGTTCATCTAACAGCATCTCAAGAAAAAAAAATTTAGGTCATAAATTGATTGGACCAATTACCAATTTACTACTTAAAATGGGTATTTTAGTTTTTTAATAACATTTAAAAAATCCTTAATAAGACATTTTGGCCTGATTAGAAATTTGTTAAAAGTGTAGGTTTTAATTTGAATTTTAATATTTCAACTAGATTTAATTAGAGTTCTCCCAAAATAGAACTCCAAACAGAGAGTGACGCATCAATATAATAATGGGTTTGAGGAAAAAGGAAGGGGGTCTGTAAATATGATTTGAACAAGAAGGCAAATCTCTCCGGTCAAAAAAAAAACAAGAAGGCAAATCCATAATCCCAAACAGTGCCCCTTGTTTTGTGTATTTGGTAATGTCTCCGCAAAATTTTCAACCGCATGTGAATGATGCCCGACTCCCACCGCATTGTGGGCACGCCGACAACATCAATGTCACCGCAATTCAATTCCTTGTCTCCCACCTATTTTTACTGTTATCCTCTATCCGTGTTACCAAGAATTGATTTTACACCAAATAAATATACGAAGGAATATAAATTTGTTTTGAAAGTTTTTATTCAAAAATATTAGTACTTAAAAGTTTTTTTAGGTACAAATTTACTCTTAAAAATTTAAAATCATAGTAATTTTGCTTATTACTATTAAAAAATTAATATTGACAATTAAAATAATGATAGTGACCGTTAATATTTTTAATAGTAAGAGAAAAAATTATCATGATTTTAAAATTCAAAGACAAATTTACACAAGAAAAAAAATTTTATTTTAGTTACCTAATGCTAATGTTCATGAGTAAAAACTTTTAAGATAATTTTGCACCATAGTTCATATATAACTATATGACAGAAGTTTTATTTTGTACAGCATAAAAATGCTTTTTTTAAAAAAATGATCCAAACAACTTTCTAAGTATAATTTATATGACTTTTTCCTAAAAGCAAAAGGTGTGTTCTTTCTTTTCCATTCTATTCATACAAAAGAGCATTCGGATGCCTATGGAACACAACCACCCAAAAAACCAAAAAAATAGCAGCAGATTGAAACTCGTAAAACTGAGGTTTACCACTCAAGACTCATTATTTAATTTATTCAACAAACGTTCGTCCCATTACAATAAGTTGCCTATGCTAAATGAAAATCTGTATGGAGGGTTCTAATACACATTCGCGGAGAGGGCCAATCTCGAGTCTTCTTCTCAGCAGCTCCTACAGAGTTTGATTACCTGACAAGCAAAGATGGTTGCAGCAATGACAATTCAACTTAACCCGACCGTTTTATTCGACTTTTGATGGGGCTTCATCGCTTTTAACGGTCGAAATTTCTGAAGGGCCATCTCCGATAGGCTTAGCAGCCACCTCGGCACCATCACCGGTAGTGGATCCCGACGGTTCGCCATTTGTTTCAGCTTCAGTTACTGGAACAGGCCTTTTGACAGTTCCAACCTTGACGTACTTGCTCATAAACTTGTATTCCCAATCCTGCAAGGCTCCAAGCTCATATGAGCCGAGACCAGAGATATCCCCAGTGAGATCTTTCTCGTCAAAGGACATTTTTGCTAAAGCTCTGCTAGCATCTTTGCCAGCAAATAGAGCGTATGGTCCCCCAGGTCCATAAAACATCCTGGAAAACAAATTTACACTTGTTCAGATAAGAAGTGGTACTGAAGTTTAACTCATTACCAATAAGAAACATCTTCCATGCAACATGAAGGGTCAAAACAATACTTGGGGATGACGTGGGGTGGTCCTTTCGTTGAGGTTAAGGAAGTTTATCCTCAAGTTTCACCAAAGACTTGAAATATGTATGATCATGGTCAGCCACGGCCGACCATCCAGTCACCATGGCAATGACAACAAGTTACTGACTTTTTTGATGGTTGGTTTGTGGAGTAAAGAAAGGAAAAAGAAAAAAGATTAGTTTTTTTAGTTTTGAGGCAGTCAGGTCGCAATGAAGGTTCCTAAAGAAAAGAATTGTTTCTACAAGCTGCAAACAGTGAGGAGTTTGTCTGTAAACTAGAAATGGAAGCTTCTGCTCAAAATTTTGCTATATCTATCATCAGACGCTTTCTCCTCTTTAATTAAGAACACCTATCTCACACGATGCACAAAACTTTTTGTTCAATGAAGTGCCGCATACTCCCAAAGTTTACAACTTGACAGATCGACTTCTCCAATAGGCAGGAAAATGACATGAAGAAATAATTCCCAGCTAGTACTACACCGAAATACGTTTATTCAGGCTTTGGAAGAACTACTACATTTAGAAAGAAAGATGCCATTTGAGATAAAAACGACCGAATGGGACCTATTTCAATCAAATTTAGCCCTATTCGATAACAAGAACCCGGTACTAGTATTTGGTTGAAACCGTCTTTCACATGCATCAAATGAAAACGGACAAAATCATCTGGGGCAAAAGAAGCAAAAGAAAGTTACCTAATTTCTTATCTGTGATAGCAAAAGAACAAAGCACCAGTAACAGAGCAACAATATAGACATAAGGATACCGAGAAGAATCATAAGAACTTGTAATATATGCTAGGAAAACATTCAAAATCAGACGAAGCTTTGGAGACGATTCCCCGCATAAAAAGAGAGAACCAAAAGCTCTGGAAAAGCCCAGATGAAGTATAATATCATTTACAACATAAAAAGGAAAAGCAATGAAGTATAACGCTTTTTTATAAGCCGAAATGCTTAACTACCGCCAGGAATTGCCAGCAAACAGAATCGACAACAACAGTTGACCATCAAAATAAGTTCAGAAAACTCAAAATCAACCAAAAAAATTCGATAGAAAGGTAAAAACTCAGAAGTAAAAGACCGATTATACCTGCTCTGAGACACGTCATAGATCTGACCCTTGATAGCCATAAGCAAAGGCTTCTTGGGATCGGAGCCATCATAGACTTTGAGCTCCTCCTCGGAAATCTCACCAACCTGAACCGGCGGAGGCAGAGGCTGCACCATCTCCTCCAAATTCCTCGGCCTAGGGGGAGGGTCAGTCGGCCCAAAAAGACCCGAAACGGCATAGTAAGCGGCGAAGAACAAGGCGAGGATGGTGAAGAAGGTGGCCGGAGAGAAGCCAGTGTAAGCCACGATGGCTTCCTTCAGAGTCTCCCATAGTTGCAGAGCCATGGCTTCACAGCTAGTTGGCAGGTAGAGAGAGAAGATGAACAAAGGCACGGCCCAAGGAGATAGGAATAGTTGAATGTCTTTATATAATATCAGCCCAACGAGGAAGGAAAGGGAGGGTAGAGCAGGGGTAGAGGATGAGAAGGGTAGAGAAGAGGATCCTTTTCCGGTAGTTGATCGTCTTATATGGTATCAGCTCAGCTTGCTGAGACTTCAGGGTTTGGTCGTGGTTTTGACTCTTGATACGTACGTTTGAGTATTTAATTTTAACCCAACATATCGGCAATTAAATTGGATATATTAAAGTAATTAAATATGAAATTGCTTAAAGATTCAATACTCAATATTATTAAATAAATTATTTTTGTGAGTGTAATCACTTCTGGTATTTATTCCAAGCTAGACAAATGAGATATTCAAATCGCCTGCAGCATACTTCTGGTATTTATTCCAATCTAGACAAATGAGATATTCAAATCGCCTCGAGCATACTTCCCATTACAGTCAACTTAAGCAGCTATTTTAAAATATTATTAGTCCATTGATTTCCCTCTCATAATGTTACGGCAGAGAATTTTTTTCGATTTATGCTCTCATAAAATTATCTTGTTAATTTAGGACCTGTTTGGGTAATATGGGAAACCAAAGTTTTGGGACCCAGATTTGCCAAATTGGGGGAGAAATTAACAAACTACAATTTAAGACCAAAACCATGGTTTTGGGTTCAAAATTATGGTTTCAGAAGAAATGAATCTATTCTGCTTTTGGCTCAAATTGGAGAGTATGATTATACCTGTTATAGTAGATCTTAACAATAATATGACTTTAACACCCCTCAATTATTTTTTTATAAGTATATTTAATCTTATATTTTATAAATATATATACACATATCAATTATTTATTAATTACATTATCTTATGTATTATTAATTATGTTGGTAAAAAATACATTATTAACAATTTTATTCATTCAAATTAAAATATATTATAAAATCTATTTTTTATATAATTATCATATTAATTTATGCTTTTTTAGTAATTTGTACATATAAAAAATACTTCTAATAACAATTATCCAAACACTTTCATTTTATCAGAATCACTTTTTTATAAAATCAATTCTTCACAAAATCTATCCTCCTAAAAATTTATTTTCCAGAAACTGTTTTCCAAACCATGGTTTAGTTTTGTCTAAACACTTTTTAAGTCTTTCATGGGATTATATATTTATTTCGGTCTTCGTGCACATATTTTTTTTTTTCAATTTAGGTTCACATAAAAACATTAAGCAACCATATTTTTTGTTAGCTTATTGGATCGCATTGAACATGTCTTGTTAATGAGAGATTGAATTGAAAAACCAAAAAAAAAAAAAAAGAAGGCACAGTGCACGGAACCCAATCCCTTCATGAGGGATAAAAATAGGGCTTTGATACGGGAAAAAACATACACGAACTACCTTTTTTTTTTTGGTTGGAAAAAAGAAAGGCAATATGAATAAATACACATTTAAGCATTTAACACCAAATATATTATTCAAATAAGAAATATAAAAGCAATTTTTTCCTCATGTTTTGCACTGCACTATGGACATCTTTTAAATGAATAGATCCAGGCAAGGTTACTTCAATACATTCTTTCCTGGTTCAGGAGAAATCTCAACCCAATTAGCCATAAAAGCCGATCTCAGGAACTTGAAAATTTTGTAAAGGAGAGTCAACATATGAAGTATGAACTACATTCAAAGCAGAGAACATGGCTAACTTCTATGTACACTTACAAAATTTAACATCCCATCTTCTCAGGGGCACAAGTAACAACACATTTCAATTGTTATAATCCAACAATCTTTATTTGGATGAACTATTTGAAGGTAGAAGAACAAGTCAAAGAACAGGAGAAAAGGTAACATAAGCAGCAATACCTAAAATTCACTACTATACCACTTCCTGTTTCCTCAGACTTCATCAGAGTGAGAGTGACCTAACCTCATCTGTTTTCCACAGGCCTTCCTCATACTTGTACCACCTCACAAGCCCTTCATCGGTTCTTGTCCGCTGGCACATGATGCATGAGTCTTGCATGCATGTGAGAAATTCGCGTAACCGAGAAGCTTTCTCATGGATAGCCGGATCGATCTCTCTAATGATTCTTTTATGCTGAGGAGGCGGAGCGGTTTCCATCAGAATGCAATGTGATATATTGAGCACCTCAAGGTGCTGTAAGTTATCTAAGATCAGAATGAGAACATCCTTGAATAGCGTTGAACATCGAAGACTCAACACTCTTAACTTTGGAAGATAGGTAGCAATGGACGAAGCGAAGAACATATCACAGGGACCCATAATCTTGAGTTCACTGAAGTTCTCACAATTCGCTGCGATTTCCTCCAGAAGATACGGCGGATTTGCTATGGTAGGCATTGTCAAGGACTCCAGATGTTTCCAGCCACGGATGGCCTTGATCATTCCTGTTTTCTTGATTCTGTTCCATGCTGGCAGAACGAGTCGTCTGAGTTCAGGGCACCTGCAACAAGGAATGACAGAAGACAGTTATTGAACAAAGTAACCACAGCCACTTATAGCTCAACTGCTTTCAGATATTCTCCAGCAACTCTATGTAAAGATGACAGAATTAAGAGAATACCAAGCAGAACCTCAATCATACATACAATGCAAAAGTTCAAGTTAATCCCTCTAAGTAATCAAGCAATGTTAGCACCAGACAAGAAAGTTTGTCAACAAATCAGCAATCAAGAGAATATTATCTGTTCCTTATGGCATTCAATGTGAAACCTGAAATTACCTTTCAGCAGTGTATGTCAATTGATCATCGCTTATGTATAGGTTGAAATGAAAGATCAATGTCATTATGTTCCCCCTGCTTAGACTCAAAGAAATCTTCAGCAAACGGGTCAAAGTGGTATCCGATCGCCCATCAACGTAGACAAATGGCTCTAATGGAATCTTGATGAAATTGGATTTTAGCATTGACAAATCAAGTGTTTTCCAAAGAAGCGGATCACAGCAAGCCATACGCCATGTGCTACAAACATGAGCAATGCCAGAAGTTAACTGGAAGATGTCAAGCAACTCGAAAATCTTCACCAAAATGTCTATGTCCAGATCCTCCCATCTCCTTACAGTAGAGTAGCTGTCTTCCATTTTACCAGTTTTCCAAAATTCTGAGTGAACTACAGTGAATCAGTAGATTCAAAACTCCTGCAGAAAAAAAAATTGAAAACCAGTAATGAGTTTCAACCATCAAAATGAAAACTATGATAGCAGAACCTTTTTCCTTAAATGTTTTATGCGACTATGGAGGATCTGGACATGGGAAGAGTTTCAATCATCAAAGTGCGCTGACACCCGACATGCTAACAAGTAAGAACTGTTCCTATTGCCTGCAATAACAAATTCTAAAGTGACAATGGGTGCACAACTTATCTTCCAACATTTCTTGAATCCTAAAAGCAAGAATTTTGAGTGGCAAGAACTCATAAACAAGGGAAAACAATACAATCCATATCACTACCAGGCTTTTCGCACCACTAGACCCAACAAGAATGAGACTTTAAGTAAATTATGTCTCGTGGAATCTCTATTGTTAACTCCGAATTATTAAGACGGAACGATTGTATCAGTACTTATCGAAAATTCAAAATTTAACAGAAACAATTAGCCTTAACAAATGAAAGATAGCAAAGACACAGAGCACTTTGGTTAAGGCTCGGGGGTTTCAAAAAAACATCAGAACTTGATCATTACAATTGAAAATTGAAATCTCAAGCGAGTAAGGAAGGAAGGAGAATCAACCAGATTAACAAAAAACAGAGAACCCCTTTGTATAACCCCACCCGCTAACACCCGAAGCCTCTCAAACAAAATTGTGATTCTACATCACAAGATCTTAGAAATGCCCGATCAAAAAGAAACAAGCATCCCGATCAACCAAATTCTTTCAACCCAAGAAATGAGGGGGAAAAAAAAGAGAGGCAAAGAAAAAAGAGAGAAAAATTCGAGCCGAAGCAATAAAGAGTTCGTCATTTCGGACAAAGATCTATCAACCAGGATCCAATTTACACATAAAAAATAAAGATGCAAGAAAAAACGAGGAGAAAAAAGGTGTAACAGTACTGGTAAGAGAAAAGAGGGATTAACCTTAAAGACAGAAGATGTCAGCATTTTTGTGGTCGGGAAGGGCGTGAGAGTTGAGTGAAGCAGTTTATGAAGAAGGAGAAAAGAGCGAAAGGTTTATGATTTGTCGATGGTTTTTCCCAAAACGCGGAACAGAGGACGCGGAGTCCTAGGGGATTGAGGAATTTACCGAAACAGCCTTTTCTTCCCAATTTGAAACGAACTCGCCCCAATCCACAGAGCTCCCGGACATGTGACTCGAAGGTCGAAACGCCTCGCTCAGTTATATTTTTTCAACCCTAGAAGGATTACCCAGTTAAAGGTCACAAGGGACACGGATGCAACTCAGGTTACTAACCTTGGACAAAAGTACAACCGCCATTGGACCCCAAATTCGACAGGGTGGACATGGATATGAGCTGACGTGGACGACAACCCAAGTTCCTTTGAATGTGATCTAGCATAGCTTGAAATCCAGAGAAGGGCACGTCTGAAACTATCGAGGTAAAAAAGTGAAGATTCCAGGGATCTTTGCTTGCAAAGGAATCTGTGTAGCGGTTTCAGATTCATGTGGTACAAGAACAGAGCCTCTTTTTTTTTTTTTTTAATAATAATCCTCTTCATCCTTATTGTCCAAGTCGTAATATGGTTAATCTGATCTGCGTGTGTGCGCTTTGCGGATGAGCAAGAATTTAGAGACTTGTCCTCTAAATTCCTCAATGATTTGCTTTGGAGATCATTTGACACCTTGGCGAACAATTCCCACAAGAGAATTAAGATATTTTCAAGCATATTTAATATTATTTTCCCTTTTTATTAGAAAAGCTAGTTTGACTTTTAATTTGATCATAAGTATAACATCCCAATCCATTTTATCTCTTATGTTTATCTTTTTTTTCTTTTCAAAATAATCCTTATAATAGTTGCACATATTAAAAATTCTGTTATTCAATTGTAGTTATAACAAATACACATGACTAATAAGAGTATTATAGGAAATATAACACATTTTTACTATAAATAACTAATTTAACACACTTTCTTAATTTATTCAAATTAGTTAACTAACTCTTATATTAAGGATTAGAGGTAATATAATTTGTGGTCCCTTAAATTTTTATTCATTTTGGTTTTAATCCTTCAAATTTTAAATTACAGGTTTTGACACTTCAAGTTTTTTTTTAAATTTAAAACATCGGTCCTGTACTTCAATAAAAATCTAAAACATTTTGCCATTCGAGGAATCAGAACCTCTAGTTTGAAACTTAAAGGATTAAAATCAAAATAAGAACAAACTTGAAAGACAAAAAATTATATTAACCATTTTTAAAAATAAAATGTAATTTAATTATTTTTTATTTTATTTAGAGTGATGCAACAAAATTAGTTTAAGTGTGTTAAATAAGAGCCACGTCATCATTAATTATTAATACTACCTCTGACACTTAATATAAAACCTAACTGGCTAATTTGAAGAGATTAAAAAAATTAGTTAAGTTAGTTATTTATACTCCTCCGGTTCTTAATATAAAACCTTTTTAATTAATTTGATTAGATTAAGAAAGTTAGATAAATTAGTTAATTATAAGAAATATGATATGATTTTCCTAAAACGTTATAATCATCTTTCTTAATATCTTTTCTTCCTCACTTATTCACTTATGGTTGAAGAAGTATCCATATAAGTAATTTAGAAAAAATTAATAAATATGATAAATAGGTCTTATATTTAGGAGCAAAATTAACTTAACAATTAAGTCATATAATAAGAACCGGAAAAGTAACAAATAAATGTTATCTTTCTCAAAATGCCCTTACTAATTAAGTATATTAACTAAAACTATTATTTAATGAAACTTTTAACATGTATAATTAATATAAGGACTACTTTGAAACAAATGGATAAATATAAAAGATAAAAATAGATTAAGATCTTATATTTAGAATCAAATTAAAAGTTAAATAAGCTTTTAGGAGGGGACCTTACAAATTACCTCTCCGGTCCTTAATATAAGACATATTTAACTAATTTGATTATATTAAGGAAGTTAGGTAATTTATTTAATTATAAGAAACGTGATACTTTTTTTTTTCTAAAATACCGTAATCATCTTTCTAAATACCTGATTTCTTCTTGCACTTGATTATGGTTAAGAGAGTATTCATATGAGTAATTTAGAAAAAATTGATAAATATGACAAATGGGTCTTATATTTAAGACCAAAACTAATTCAATAATTAGGTCTTAATGTGATCGGAGGAGTAATATTTATAATATATGCATACTATAAAAGGAAAAATCTGCTCATTTCAGCATATCTGTGATTTGACAAGAAAACGACGTCGCTTGCAGCTGGTCGTCCTCGACTCGCGAGGGGGAGCCTGGTTCCGACTTTCGAATTCGAAGCCTGCCCCTGCAACTTCAAACTCCAGGTTCTTTCATCTCTATCGGTCCATCCTCTCATAGATAGTCTTACATCGTCTGGCTCTCTCTCTCACTCGCTTTTCCTCATGGGTGTGAAGCATTTGTGGGATATACTCGAATCCTGCAAGAAAACAGTTCCACTTCACCATCTCCAGTAATCAATTCCCTTACTTTCCTTTACTTTCTCTCTCATGTTCTTTTTTTTAAATTCTATATGACTTCATGTGCTTGTGCTGGAATTGGATTCTAGGAACAAGAGGATATGCATTGATCTCTCATGTTGGATAGTTCAACTTCAGAATGTGGGCAAATCAATCTCATGTGTGAAGGAGAAAGTCCACCTCAGGGGTCTCTTCCACCGCATTAGAGCGCTCATTGCTTTGAATTGTAGCCTAATTTTTGTTACAGGTGTGTTCCTACGTATTTTGTTGTTTTCTTTGTTGCTTTACTCTTCCAGTTATCACCTATTACAGTTGTGTTATAGTAGGTTTGAAAAATATGTTAAAAAAGTTTTCAATTTTAGTGCATAAGAGTGACGTTCTAAAGTCTAAACGTTCATCATAGTAGCCAAGAAAACTGAAACCAGAAAATCTCTGCTGGTAGAACTAGAACGTATTTGTGCAACCTTAAATTTTGCGTCCATGTGGGATTTTCACGAAAGCAGGCCTTAGCATTTGCACACTCGAATGTGGGGTGGTACGCATAATATCCTTATCTAACCCAAGGGCCGTCCCGTAACAAAACTCACTGCGGCTCTTTAAATGAAGGACTTATTCTGAAAATTCCACTGACACTTAGAATCATGAACTTCTTTGGTCGCATCTAAGGCCCACGTCCTGTTGCTGATCCGACTTATCTTAGTATTGGAAAATTCCAGTATATGAATCAGTTTCATGCACACCTGTTATGAGGCTTTGGACTTCAGATTTATCGTCCATGTACATGTTCCTTTTCTTTACTTAATTACAACGTCTCTTTTACTGGTCATTCTGCGCTTTTTAAATCTTGTTGTCTTGACAGTATCCAGCCATATCCGTTCACATATTCTGATCTTTGCTATTTCTCAGATGGATCAATTCCTGCTATTAAATTATCAACTTATAGGCAACGATTAAACTCTGGAAAAGATGTAAGTAGCATTTACTTCCTATATGTTCATTTTTCTTATATGTTGCCTTTTTGTTTTCTCACTTTCCAATTTTACGAACTTTAGTCAATAATGATGTAGGTAACACAAAATGGAAGCAACTTACAGAAAATGTCTTCTTTACCGAGGAACAGGGGATCTGAGTTTTCATGCATGATAAAAGAGGCTCGCATCTTGGGAATGGCCCTCGGCATTCCTTGTTTGAATGGGTAATTACCATTTAAAGTTAGGTTCAATATCTTGTTTTTAATGATGATAAATATAATAGCTTGATATTGATGACTCCAAAATTGCTTAAGTATCCAGGTTGGATTAGTTTTCATTTGTATATTGTTGTGCGCGGGAGTGCACTGATTTGTTATATTGTAAGAGACGAAAGGAGCAAACCTATTGAGTATGATATCCTTGTTTAATGACATGGTCCAATAGTTGGACTGCATGCTACTAATAAAAAATAAAAATTAAATTATTCTAAGTCGTAGCAATATATTGGAGGAATCAGAGTTTATCAATGATCAATATATTGCTTATGAAAGCACCACCAACTCTTAGGACTAAGGAGTAGCTACTTCTTGTCAGACAGTGAACATAAAAGTGTTACTGCACTAATGCAAACTACTAACATTATTAGTCTTTTGCTAATCCAGGATTGAAGAAGGTGAAGCTCAATGTGCTTTGTTGAACTCCGAATTATTGTGTGTAAGAAGAATCAATTGCCTGCAAATTATTCTTTGCTCTCAATTTGGAAATTATTGTTATTTGTGGAGTGTTTATACTAATGGCTAGGCTAACCCATTATCAATGTTGGTTCATTCATTAAGAATTGTGGTTACTTTTAGGATGGATGTTTCAGTTCAGATTCAGATATATTTCTTTTTGGTGCAAGGACAGTGTATAGGGATATCTGCCTTGGTGAGTAGATCTGTTTTGAATCATGTCTACGTTTGTTTTGTTTTGATTTTATTAACACTAACTAATGCAAGGAACCATTTACTGATGAATTAGGAGATGGGGGGTATGTTGTTTGCTATGAGATGGAAGACATTGAAAGAAAACTTGGATTTGGAAGGGATTCATTGGTAACTTTCTGTTGTCTTTTTAAATACATGGCATTTTCTTTTTAGGCATATATAGATGATCTTTCATTGTTCAGTCAGTATGTTATCTAATCTTATATTCAGTTAGGTTTGTGCGTGTCAAGGTTGTGGAGTAGTTAGGTCTACGAAGGTCTGCCAATGTTAGCTTCTCGGTTCATAATATCCTGGCACTGGAAAGAAATCAGTTAAAACAGAAGTTACCCTATTGTGCAACCATTTTGTGTAGTTTAGTTATACCAAGGAACTTATTTTCAATGGTTTCCTCTATTGTTTGAATTGATTTTCCTTGTAGAAACTTAAGCTGAATCCAGTATCATGCATGTATCCATGTATGCATATGATTGTTCTTCTTTTAGTAAATTTGTAGTCCTAAATTCTTAAAGTATTTTATATCTTTTGTATCTTCTTTTACTAAAATCAGTAGTGTTTCCATCTTATGAAGAGTCGTACTATCTTGAATTGTACAATCAGTCCATGTTCCCATTCTGTAAATAATTCAATTTTAGGGGATTGGGTTTACTTTTGGGCAAAATAACCATTGGTAATGTGACCTTGAATCTTCAGATTGCTCTTGCCTTACTTCTTGGGAGTGATTATAATCAAGGAGTCTATGGTCTAGGTCCGGTAAGCATGAATCCTACCATTGTTCATGGTCACACAGTACCTTTCTGTCTATTCCCTCTGTTCCGTTTGTTGCTTATGACCTTGCGATAATTTGATTACGGATTGTAGGAGTCAGCTTGTCAGATAGTTAGATCTATTGGTGACAAACATGTGCTCCAAAAATTTGCTTCTGAAGGAATTGAATGTCTGAAAAGACTGAAAGGTGCAAAGAAGCAGGGACAAGTCTTGAAGGACAACAACAAAGAAAATATGTTGGACCATGATATGGCATTGAGTCATGGTAAAGCATTTATATTGCTACTAATCCATGGCCTGCAATTTGCACAAATGTAATTTTCTTCAAGATTTCTGCCAACAGATTTATCCATATTCAGTTTCATGTCAACAAATACTTGAATTAGAGGTAAACCTCTAATTTTGGATAGTTTGTAACAAAACAAAGTGTCGAAAGTATATCTTCCGCATATACTTTTTGGTAAAGGTCTCTTTTTCTCCAAAAATTTATGTCGTAGCTGGTCAGAGCTTACAAACATATTAATAGTTTGTCCCATTCATTGACACACTTTTTTCTTAAGCATTATTAGAATGAACATGTTTTATATATTGATTTGCCGTTAATGAAATTTTCTTTAATCGTGTGGAAGCTTGTCAGGTTCAAATCTCTGTTTCTATCTTTTTTGTACATGCAGGAGGCGGGAACAATTCGCAGAGAGATTATAACTTCTTGCAAGTTATCAATGCTTATGTAAAGCCGAAATGCCACCCTGTGGATTCTGATATTGTGATGAGGTAATTTTACATTAGTTTAGTGTACTGAGACTTATGTTGCCTGGTTCATTATAATATAACATGACCTCCGGTCCTAAATGAACTTCATCAAAAGTGGCTATATAGTGACGTGTATCAATTGAATGTGGAATCTATCAATAAAATTATATATTTAGCGGATGAATGACTCTCTCTGTAGGGTTCTTGCTCAGTATCCATTTCAACGTAGTAAACTCCAGCAGATATGTGCTGAATTCTTTCAGTGGCCTCCGGAGAAAACAGGTTCTTCAACTGCTCTTGCATGCTTCATCCTGTCATTTTTTATTTAGATAGTACCTCTGAACGGCTGACTCTCATATTGTTGTTTAGAGTTTTAGAATTATATTAAATCCCTCTTTCGATCAAAATTCTTGGTAACTTAAATATCAACAATGGCAATACCAGCTCAGTAATTTTTGGAAGTAATTTCAACTTGTGATTTTATTGATGGTTATTGTTATAGATGAGTATGTCCTTCCAAAGATAGCTGAAAGGGATTTACGGCGATTTGCCAATATGCGCTTAACGTCATCAGAAGTAGGACTGAATCTTCCTTTGAATGAGGTACTGCTAGCCCTTGCCACTAATCATCATCTACTTCGGCTGGCAATATAACTGCCTTTTAACTTTTTCATTATATGCAACAATGACTCTTTGATTACTGCCTTCTCTGTTTACACTACCTGCAATATGCCCTATCACAGATCCCTGTAAAGTGTCCGGTCTCGGAAATCATTAAGTGCCGAAAAGTTCAAGGAAGAGAATGCTACGAGGTGTCATGGAATGAAATGGATGGACTTGGAACTTCAATAATACCGGCAGATCTTTTAAAAAGGTTAGTTTTCTAACTGAAATATAAAACTGTATGAATTTCCAGTAATTACATGGAAAGTGTATTGCTTATTGTGTTAATAACTTTCTATCATGACTCATCTCCAGTGCTTGTCCTGAGAAGATTTTGGAGTTTGACGAGAAAAAAGGTCTGCTCAAGAAACAAAATGCTCAAAAAAGAAGACCAAAGAAAACTGAAACTGCATCTTCTATGGCTGAACTTGACCTGCAACTTACGAATCTATCACTGAATATCGAGCTGGGAGACCACGCCAATCACAATGCCTCCGATTCATCAGAACAGGTCTTTCAAGATGCATCTGCCGTGGATGAAGCTTATCTGAATAACAGAGACTTGTCAAGTTCATTACTTGATGAACAGATCGAATGGAATCAAAATGTGAGCA